ATATTTTTATAGTTTCAAGAATATTTTACAGCAGGTAGTCTTATAATGTATGTTATATGTTTCATTTACAGATATCTTCTGTAGACAAGTCTAAACCGCCAGACACACTGCTGGACCCAAATAAGGATGTCTTTACTGTAGATGTAAGGCAATCAATATAATTTGCTTATTTGATACCATTCTATTCTTATAGCGGGCCTATAATATTTATTTTGTTTTCAGATAAGCGAAGAAGAAAAAGAACTGCTTGAAAAGAGGAAGTTTTATATTGAAAACAGAATTTGGAAAGAAATTATGGATGCAATGAGGACAATAATAGATGACCACATTGTCCGACTTCTTCACATATGTGGTTTCAGAACATATATTACATTGAAGGCATTGACAGACGATGATTTAAAAGAAATAGAAAATTTTGTTAAAAGTGGTGAATTACAAGCTAAAGTGAAGGACCCAAAAGAATTCAAATGGTATCTTGGTTCTGATATTGATCCAAAATCATTTAGTTTCAGTATTGGAGAGAAAAGGCTTATCAAGCTACTGATAAAATATGTGACAGACAATCATGAATCAAAAGATAAACCTTTGGGGAAGAATGTGTCTTTATTGCATCCACTCTTTAGAAGAAGTGTGGAACCAGGTGCAGCTGGGAGTCCTAAAAGATTAAAGTCAAGTGTTGCATCTGATAAACTTGTAGTTACATATGATTTTCCTCAAGAAGAAACTAATGTAAGGAAATTGATGAAAGATCACTTCCGTAAAGAAGCCTTCCCTGAAGATTACATTAAGAGTGTTGCACAACTAGCTATTACTATAAAGACAGTGGAAAGAAAAGATGGGGCAGGTTTGTCAGCATCAGTAAAGTGTCCGATGTGTTCTGAAAAAATTGGTGGGGTCCGGTCTCCTACTACAACCTGGACTCTATCCAACATTTATCGCCACTTTGTGAAGCACAAGGACAAGAAAGAACACATCCCTGGCACAGTTTCCAAGTCCTTCTTTCAGCCTGCTCCTGATCGGTCCAAATCACCAATTCATGATCTAACCCACTCTGATGAAGAGGACGGTGGTGTGCAGAAAGTAGTTAATGCAGGTGAGAATCAGGATTTTTGCCTGGTGGGAGGTATCAGAAAACTGTTATCTCCCCAAACCCTAGGTACGGCAGAACAGAGAGAATAAAACGAGCTTTGGGGAGACATACAAAAAATCAAACTAGGATTCCAGCCTACTTTCCCATATTAAATGAAATTGAGATCACACTCCAGGCAAATAAAGAAATGATTAGTACCCTAGAAGCACGGTGCAAAGAGTTAGCATTGGTCAACGAGTCAAATAAGTTCAATTTGTCATACCTCTTAAAACTTCTGATGGATGCAGCCCAAAATAATTCTCAAAAAAAAAATCACGGTCAAAGATATGAAGAAGATTTGAAATTATTTGCGGTTTACCTGTTTGTTGTTGGAGGTAGAATGATTTATGAATTTCTGCATGCCAACCTTCCGAACTCTCTTCCCTCCATTAGCCATGTAGAATTATTGTTGAAAAATGCATCAGAGCCAGTAATTGAAGGTGTCTTCCGTTTTCAGGAACTAGTAGACTTCCTGAAGGCAAATAAGTTGCCTCTCAAGATATCAATATCAGAAGACGGCACACGTATGCAAGAGAAATTCTGCTATGATGCAACATCAAACCAAATCATTGGCCCCGTGCTGCCTCTTACTAATAATGGTACACCAATCTCAGGAAGCCATCCAGCATCATCAGCTGCCATGATTGCATCCCATATGAAAAATGGAAGAGTAGCATCAACGGGATATGCAATCATGGCACAACCCTTACAAAATAAAGCTCCAGCTTTCTGCCTTTCTTTATTTGGCACAGACAACAAGTTTTCACATACGGATGTTCACAAAAGGTGGTATTTTATCAAAAAAGAGTTGGCTAAATTTGGTGTTGAAGTGGTTAATTTTGCTTCTGACGGAGACCCAAAACTTTTAAAGGCTATGCATTCTCATATGTTTGGGCAGTCTGGTGTTGATAATAAGAACACAGTCTATTTTAAAGAAGAATGGAAATCATGGTTTTTTGCAAGTTCAGATCTCAACTTCTATGTCATGCAAGATTTTATTCATACTGCTAACAAATTTCGAACGCGCCTAAATCCCTCAACAATACTTCCCATTGGTAATTATTTGGCATCACAAACCCATCTCAATATTTTAATTAAAAATTTCCCTAAAGAAGAGCATGGCCTTACAGAAGATTTGGGAAAAGATAAGATGAATTTTGATGCGTCTGTCAAAATCTCCAGTGAAAGGGTCACAAATTTATTGGAAGACAATGTTCCTGGTAGTGATGGCACGATTGCCTACCTGACTTGTATGAGATTTCTCATTAAGTCGTGTCTTGATGAGTCTCTTTGTGCAGCTGAAAGAATATACCAAATATGGTACTGTTTATTCTTCTTGAGAATGTGGAAAATTTATCTATTCTACCATTCGTCATACAACATGAACAACTTTGTTACTTCTAATCTGTATGTGTGTGTTGAAATTATAGCACACACAATGATAATGATGATTGTAAAATTTAGAGAAGAATCAACACCAGAATATTTTATTGTGCAGCTGTTGGGGAGCCAGGCATGTGAATCGTACTTCAGACTTGCAAGATCTATGACATCCACACAGTCAACCGTTATAAATTTCTGCATGAAAGAATTTCTCTCAAGAGTAAAACGAATTGATGTACTCTACCTTGTTTCATGTAAATTGGCAGAAAAGTTAGTCTTTCCAAGGGAGAAAAGGAAGAAATTGTTAGGAAATCTTACTGCTGAGAAACTTAGATTAGAGTATCTTCCAAATGATGATGAGATCTTTCAAATAGTGCGAAAAGCAAGATGTGATGTTGCTGAAGTCATGAAAAAGCTGGGAGTTAAATGTTCAGCTGATTCTTCTTTGGTTCATATTAAACAGTATCTCTCTGCTATGGAATCCTTTGAAGATGATGACTCTATTTGTGAAGATTTTAATTCATCATACACTACCGTTCTTGACGAAGAGGATATTAGCTTAGATTTATTGGCGGCTTTTCCTTCTCCTGGTGATATTGTAGGCCTTGATCCGTTACATAGTGAAGAAACTGTTTTGTCACCAACCAGCATTTTTGTTATGGTTCCTACTGTTTCTGGTGGTTTTATCAAAATGAGAAAGACAACCTTTTGTTGGCTGTTATCTAAGAATGGTTTAAAATTAAGTAGTGATAGAATGCTGAGGGTGCGGCAAGGAATTTGCTTTTCATTGTCTACTTCAAATACTCAAGTACATGCCGCAACAAAACCAAAAAGGAAACCCAACATTGAAGAAGGAGAATGGTGCATTTTCAAAAAGCAGAGAGTACACTGTATTGGTCAAGTAATCAGTTTTACATATTTAACTGGATCTCGGTCATACACTTTACCTAGTGCTCCCACTGACCCACCGAAGGACAAAGAAAAAGCAAGAGGAGTTGGGTGCATGTGCTCTTGGTATACACTAAACTCTGACAGAAGTCTTACCTACAAGCCAGTTAAAGTTCAGGGTTTTATCAACATTGACAAATATGTTGCACATGTCCCAGCACCTACTACTAATGTTGAATCACATCTGTGCTTAGATTCAGAGGCGTTCTCTTATTTTAATAAACTCAAGTGATTTAAGTTACCTTGTATTGAGAGATTTACCAATATATACCATAAATGTATTTTAGCTTTTAATTGTTTGTTCCTGAAAGCTAGTCCTAACTGTTAAGTACTTTTTGTTGACTGGTCCATTTCCACTTATATAAAAACAAAATATTTGTAATTGTTTGTTTCGGAAAGCTAGTCTCTTCTAATAAGTACTTTCTGTCGACTGGTCCATTT